GTAAAGGCCATCCGCGTCCTTGAAGTGGGGCGATTGGGGGGGCCTGCTCGGGGGGGGGGGGGGGAGAAGCGTCGAGCACGAGTCGGCGACACGCCGACGATTGATCTGCGATTGGCCCTCGATCGCGAAACCGCATGGTCCTTGGCGAGGTGCTCTGTCGGGCCCTTCTTGGCGATTAGTGGGCCACGGGGGTCAGTGCAAACCCCACCTGAGCCGTCCCCCCAATATTGCCCCTCCGAGTCCAACCCCACTGAGGCCGCAATGAAATTGGCGGCATCCTCCTCCTCCTCCTCCTCCTCCTCCTCCTCCTCCTCTTCCTATTTACCTCCACCTCCTCTTCATCATCCTCCTCCTCCCACTCCTCTCCTCCTTCTCCTCCTCCAGCTCCTCCTCCTTCTCCCCCTCCCCCTCCCCCCTCTGCGCGTGGCTAATACAGATCGGAAACTCTCCGTCGAGTGTTTTCACCGCGCAAGCCCCTGGAGCTTTCCAACCGAGTCCCAGGGGCTGGCCCTTCGCGGAGAAGCCTTCTCTCGGAGGGCATCGAGGCCAGAGCGGACTTCCGCACGCCTGGCTGCCCCTGGGGAAGCCAAAAAGGCTCTGCGACCGACATGAATGGTAGGTGCGTGCGGCGTCGGCACGCGCAACAGTTTTTTGACATCGCGTCGATAATTCAACGTTGCATCGATCGCGACCCCGATCGTTCAAGGTTGAATTCCGTCGGGTCCAATGGCGTCACCGTGCCCGTCGGTGCTTCTGCGTCGCAATACGCAACATTGAACGCCTTCGCTGGCGTCGCTGGCTCGCTTTCGCCGCGTGAATCTTCTCTACCCCCCAGACCTCTCCAGGGACGCGTTCTCACCAGGACTTCGGGGTGAATCCAGCGCTGGCGACGAGGGCCTCAGGGAGGCCCCAGAAAGGCGGGAACGAGGGAAAAGCACCGGTGGGCGACCTTTCTTCCTCCCTGTCTTGGTTCCGTCAGGTGTCCGGGATCGTGATTTTTTTCACAACGCCGAACCCCAAAGGTCTGGACCCTATCCCCGGGACCGGTTCCTCCTCCTCAGTCGTTTTTTGTCGGCCCCGAGGGCCGGTAAAGGCCCCGGAGGCCGAAAACAGCGAAAAAACCTCCCGTCGGGTGCGCCTGTCGTGACGTGACTTTATCTCAACGTCGTGGCGTGCCAACGTGGATCAGCGGTCCGTGGATTTGACGCGCGGTCGCCAAATCCGTGGATCGGGTAGGTGCCTTCCATAAAATGCGCCCGGTGCCGCCTCTCTCGGCGGCGGAAGACGTCATGTTTTTTTCATGACGTCGACCCCGCGAGGTCCCGACCCATTCCAGGGAACCCGTTTCTCGTCCTGAGCTGATTTTTGACGATCCCGAGGCCCAGTAAGGGCCATGGAAACGCGACCCGTCGCTAATCCACACCCCCTTGATCCATGTTTGCGATCGCCTGCTCTGGGTTCCGTCCATTACCAGCCTGGAACATATGCCCATCCCTATGCTGGGCACCTCCTCATCACGATGCCAGCCTTAGGCATGCCCTTCTGCTCTGAGGGCGCATCCCTAGGATTGCCATCGCCTCTTGGCGTGTCAATCTCAGGGATAGGGATACGCTCGAGGCTGGTAATGATGGGCGTGTTTTCCACCACCACCACCATAAGTTGGAGGGGGGGAGGAGGAGGACGAGGAGGAGGAGGACGAAGAGGAAGACGAGGAGGAGGAGGAGGAGGAGGAGGAGGAAGAAGAGGACCCCATCCTATGGTGGTGGTGGTGGAAAACAAGCCCATCCTGCCTCATCGTCTGCCTCATCGTCTGCCTCATCGTCTGCCTCATCGTCTGCCTCCTCCTCCTCCTCCTCTCCTCCTCCTCCTCCTCCTCCTCCTCCTCCTCCTCTCTCCTCCTCCTCTCTCCTCTCCTCTCCTCGCCCAAAGAAGCTAGGAACAAGAAGAAGCGACACCAACACCACCAGGGACCACCAGCGCGAAGAGCCACGGAAGGTCCCCCTGGTGGTCTGGTCCCCCCCCCATCTAGCTCGAGACGTCCCCCAGCCCCCAGTTCGGGGAGGCATCGTGGGACTCCTCGCTGGAGGTCGCCCCGCTCAAAGAACGAATTCAAGGGCAGCCGACCCGTATCAGTAGGACGCACGATAAGGATGCAAGGCCCGTGGGCGCCCACCTCGAGGCTTTTCGAGCGGGGCACGGGCAACGCAACTGGCCAAGGATGGGCCGAGGAGGGATGATGTGGCAGAGGGTCGGGGCGTCGAGGTGGTCAAACGCCTCGCCGGTTATGCCGACGAAGATGTTGAAAATCCAACCACTGGCTTATGCCTAAAGTTCTGGCTTCACGCTATGTGTGGTGCATCGATTTCAGCTTGACCGAACAAGCTGGTTGCGAACCTTGACGTCCGTTTGGAGTGTTCTGCATACCCGACCCCACAGCACGAATCACCAAAAGACCTTCTCTGTGCAACACACCGCTGTGGGCGCGGGGTGGGTCACGGGGGGTCGCGGGTGCGTCGCGGGTGAGTTACGTGTGGGTCGCGGCTGGGTTGTGGCTGGGTCGCGGGTGAGTCGCGGGCGGGTCGCGGGCGGGTTGTGGCTGGGTCGCGGGCGGGTCGCGGGCGGGTCGCGGGCGGGTCGCGGGTGGGTCGCGAGTGGGATGGCGACAATCACAACAACAACAACAACATCATCATCAACAACAACAACAACGACAATCACTTTACCCGAACGCTCAGTGTTCTCACCAGTGCCAGGGTTTCCATGCGACGCCAGCCAATACCCCCACTTTGTGGGGGGGCAGTGCAAGCTCTACCAAATATCCACACGACTCTTCGCCACCACCCACACCCAGCTTCCCGCCCTATGACGTTCGGACACTTCACTTCGTGGCCTGCGGACGACCGTGGCTACTACACTGGCGTTTTATTCTCGGCGGCCGAGGGCGCAACCTATGGCGCAACCAATAGGGGGACGTTTTATTCTCGGCGGCCGAGGGCGCAACCTATGGCGCAACCGCAAGGGATTGTGGCCCCTGGCAGGCGCGCGAACCCCGTTGCAAGAGCGTGCGAAAGTAGCTCGCGCGAGCTCATGTAACATAAATGTTGGAAAACCATTGGTTTTTTTAGGATTCGGACAGCGCGCGCGGGTAGAAATTTTGAAAAGTCGTGCAGGTGTTTTTCGAGGACCTACGGTGCGATTCGTGTGATTTTATGATGCGCGGTGCTAAAATTCTTAAGAAGCCCAATGGTTTTTGGAGATTTCGGCGTGCGCGCGCGAAGAAAAAACGAATGTGTCCCGCATGGTATTATTTGACAGGGATGATGGCCCTGGCAGGTGCGCAACCGTTGTCGCAGAAGTTCGAAAAAGTTGCTCGCAAAAGCCCGTTTGACAGAAATGTTTAAAAAGTGTTGGGTTTCCTACGAATCCGCAAGAGCGCGCGGGATGAGATTTTGACAATTTTTTGTTGAAAAACCATTGGTTTTTTGATGTTTTTATGTTAAAATCGCTGCGAACACTAAGGTTTTGGAAGGATTTCGTCTTGCGCGCGCGAATGTCCACTTTACCTTATTTTTTGCAAGGGATTCTTGAAATTTGATTATATTAGAACAAGAAATGTCATTTTCTATTGTTTTTTGCAAGGGAAAGCGGATTACAACAAAACAACCGGATCCTGTACACACCCTCTTTTCTGAGGCTTCCTCACGAAAGTGATGAAAATGTAGCTGCGGCCTAGGCGGCGCAGGGGGCGCGCACCAGGGGGCGCAACCAACAATAATTATTCTTTAGAATAAATAATGTTCAACAACAACAACAACACAACAACAACAACAACAACAACAACAACAACAACAACAACAACAACAACAACAACAACAATCACTTTACCCGAACGCTCAGTGTTCTCACCAGTGCCAGGGTTTCCATGCGACGCCAGCCAATACCCCCACTTTGTGGGGGGGCAGTGCAAGCTCTACCAAATATCCACACGACTCTTCGCCACCACCCACACCCAGCTTCCCGCCCTATGACGTTCGGACACTTCACTTCGTGGCCTGCGGACGACCGTGGCTACTACACTGGCGTGGAGTACACACCCACAGAAGTTGTTAAGCCTACGTTCGTACACCCACAGAAGTTGTTAAGCCTTGTTAACCCACAGAAGTTGTTAAGCCTTCCACAGAACATCTGTTGCATATGATGCATATGGTACATGATACACATGATACACATGATACGTACTCACAAGAATGGAAAAACGAATGTGTCCCGCATGGTATTATTTGACAGGGATGATGGCCCTGGCAGGTGCGCAACCGTTGTCGCAGAAGTTCGAAAAAGTTGCTCGCAAAAGCCCGTTTGACAGAAATGTTTAAAAAGTGTTGGGTTTCCTACGAATCCGCAAGAGCGCGCGGGATGAGATTTTGACATTTTTTTGTTGAAAAACCATTGGTTTTTTGATGTTTTTATGTTAAAATCGCTGCGAACACTAAGGTTTTGGAAGGATTTCGTCTTGCGCGCGCGAATGTCCACTTTACCTTATTTTTTGCAAGGGATTCTTGAAATTTGATTATATTAGAACAAGAAATGTCATTTTCTATTGTTTTTTGCAAGGGAAAGCGGACTACAACAAAACAGCCGGATCCTGTACACACCCTCTTTTCTGAGGCTTCCTCACGAAAATGATGAAAATGTAGCTGCGGCCTAGGCGGCGCAAGGGGGGCGCGCACCAGGGGGCCCAACAATAATTATTCTTTAGAATAAATAATGTTCAACAACAACAACAACAACACCAACACCAACAACAACAACAACAACAACAACAGCAACAGCAACAACAACAACAAAAACAACAACACTAATGGGAAGACTGTTCGCACCGATCTGCTCACCTGCCAATCAATCGGAGGTGAGGGGGTGAGATCGAAGTGGAACGGAGAGCCCCCCTACCGGGAAATCGATTTCGGTTTCGTGTTCGTGCGTGCCGTGCGTGCGGGCGAGGC